GGGGGGGGGGGGGGGGGTCTACTGCATTGTGATTCTCAGCTTTGCTCAATACTTACTAGCTCCAGTGTCATTAGTCATTTCTGTTATAGTATTCAGAAGAGTATATGTCCTTGCATTATGATTATTAATCCACACGGATGGATATGGAACTTGTTTCTTATGGACCCTATGACTACGATCTGCTGGGGTGTTGGTCGGTTACTAACTCTGAGACTGACAGTTCCCTAAATAAGTTCAATCAAATGTTATGGCTTCTTATGTTGCAAAGTCATGCTTTTATTTTCTTGCAGATAGTGATGAAAATTTAAACTGTTGTGAAGTCTGAATTTTTCGAATTAGTTGTTTAGCCTGTTAACTTGATATTAATGGATTTAATCTGTTAAAGGTGCAAGCAGTCTCAGTAGTTTCAGGTTTTATGTGTTTTTCATAGATGTTTCTAAATGCTCGTCAGAAAAAGATAAATTGAAAGTGTCGGGGGAGGAGAATTTGTATCTCTTCCTCTGATCCTGGCTTTAGGTTTGTATTCTCCCAAGTTATGATTGAGTTTTAGAAATTTGAATTTGGCCTGCTAAACGATCTCTCTTCTGGTTGAAGTTGTGGTTTTACTAAATCAGCCAGCCTTAATATTCAAATTACTTTGTTGCGAGGTTGTTTCTTGCTAGTATGTCTTTCCAGAATGCAAGTAAGAGCACATGTATTTAGCATCTTTTAGCGAGTGCCTATGAAACCTTTAACAATTGATTACTTATAATAAAAAATGGAAATCAGAAGCAGTTGACACTTTGAGATCTTGTCTCATTACAGATCAATGACAAGGGGCAACTTCGTTTGAGCCGGCGTGCATTACTCCCTGATCCCGAGCCAGAGAAGCAAAGTGCAAAGCCACGCAGTGCTAGCCTTTCAAATGACAATGTAGTTTCACCAAAAACTTTAGATAAGGGTAAACCTAAGAAAGCTTTGACTGTATCAAATGATGGTTCAGCATCAAGAAGTGCGGAATCTCTCAAGGACAAAACATTTCCTATGAAGTTATCAAGTCCAGGGAAAGAAGCAGCCAAGAGATTAGTAAGTCCAGAAAAGGATGGACCAGACAAGCCCCAAACGAAGAAAAGTGACGGCAACATCTCCAGCAAAAGTGGAAATGCAGTAGTCAATGGAGAGGCAAAAGTTGTATAATAAACCTATACGATGGGAGTGTGATTCAGAACCATTTTTAAAAATGTTGCAGGTGTCTGCTGTCCTCTGAGATGGAAATAAAAGGTGCCTGTATTCTTCATGATCAATGTCCTTTCATTTGCTAATCCCTAGAAATATGAATTATTCTTTTTTGTCCATTTGAATGTAAATAAGCTAAGTATACCTGTTTAGATCTAAGCTATAAACGTTATATCGTTTCAAGTATATCAGTTGCATAAAGGGTAGCACTTGCTGGATGCTGTCAGGTTAGACTAGTATAGTAAATAGAAATTTAAACTCTCTTTGGTGATTTTGGCCTTTCATAAGTTGTCTTCATGCTGTGAAGGACCTGATATGGATATTGTTTTCATGCCTGGATCTCTTTCCATACATTTAGCCATTGTAAGAAAGCATGGCATCGTTGGTACTAGCTTTGCTTATGTGACATCTTTTTATGTGCAGAGAATAGGGACTTCAGAAGAGTTGAGTTATTGGTTTGGCTGATGTTCAAACATAGTTCTTTTTGCTCCGTGAAACTGAGAGGGGTTATGATTCAAGCTTTGGCGTGAGATTTAGCAGGTTTTGTTCTGACGGGTTTAACAGTGGAAGAAAATCTAAATGGAGTAATTTTCTTGGCATGCATCCCGTGATCGAGATTCATGGTTATGAGGGATCAATACGATCAGTCTCTATACATCAATGAAGTTTTTTTTCTTTTTTCTTCTCTGCTGTAACTGCTATGTATGATTGAAGTTAGGAACTGCAAGCTGCCAGAGCGCCAGCAAATTAAACTTGAAGCCAAGTACTAAGATTTAGGTGCCATTGTCCTGGAAATCTTCGGTTTCTACCAGAAATTCCAGGTTCACAGCCGTAGTATTGGATGTAATACCTTGAAGCTACCAACAGATGGTCGATGCTACTAAAGTCCACTTCATTTGATATACATAAATATATACATATATGTATGTTGGGCAGTGTTCTTTATGCTTGTACAAATATCAGATATGATAATTACAGGAATACCGACTTGTGCGGGACCTACAGAGACTGCCTATTAGTGTGCTAATGTCTCTCTGCTCCCAGATATCTTTATCTTCCTCTGCGTATAGCAAATTTCCAAAGTCGGTACGTCTAGTTTTTTGTGTCAAAATGTTGCAGACCTCATTTCACATCGGAAACCAAAAAAGGAAAAACAACACGAAATTAAGCTAAGAGAAACCTACGCTATTCTAGTGATTAGGCTAACTGATTCATTGATAATCTGAAAATGGTGAAAAAGATACATTTATACCCTAGCTAGCTGATGACTTACGCAGGAATTATTGGATTTATAATTCTCCCAACAGAATCTGACAAGCTTTGATTGCAAGATTAGTAGAATTTAAATGTCCTTGGCCTCTTTATAAGATAACACAGTTTATACATATTCCTTTTCCTGCGATTACATCATGTAAATGCCGTCCAAATTAAATTGACCCACTATGTTTATGGGAGCCTCTTAATAAGATGAACAAAGCAGGACAAATATAATGGACTTTTATCGAGCTAGAGGTAACGCTCACCAGATGACTGAGAGGAAGTTGACGTCCTACCTTGCACGTTCGCCACCCCGATAACTGTATTTGCTAAAATAGTAACATAAAAGAAGCTTGAGTACAGGGTGCTTGGTACGTGACATTATTTACCCTTAAAATGTGTAACAATTAATTTGTACGTGGTTTAAAGGATATATGATTTAATTTAACACGAATGATCAAAGAAACAACAAATAATCAAATTAAAAGAAAGCAAAACGGTCAAACCAAATGTGATGAAATAACTAAGCCTGACGTTAGTTTCGAATGCTAAAAACTAGTTCCAATCGAGCCCTCTGGAGGGCGCTCGGTTTTAGTTGAATGAGATAATAGTTGAAGAATACTTGAACAATTGCTAAAAGACAAAAGTAAACTTTATTGCTTTGATATGCCAGGTGAAAAAATAAAAAAGGTTCTCCCCTTTATATAATAAGAAAGTTTAAACCCTAGTGCAAGTCTAAATAAGGTAAAAATTATTTCTTCCTTTCTTTCCCAATAAAACACGATCCACAATTAATATCGGGTGTGATCCGCGCCGTAATATCCGGTTGATGGCAGATATCCTGACGCCTCGTTCGTCCTCTTTAACCGTCTTCCCTTTAACCTCAATTCTTTGTTTCGCTCGAGCTTGATTCTTCCCATGTTTGGCCATGCCCGATTTCCGACTTACATTCGCCCCCCGGGCTTCGATCTGTGGGCACCTTGGCCTTACCTGAGCCAACGTCGAATCACGTTGTCCCTCGTTTCTTTATCGAAAAACTGGGAGTAACTTTATCCCCGATTTTATCCGTACACAGATAGTCCCCTCACTTCAGAGAGTAGATTTATAGGATCAATGAGAAGTGACTAATTGACCCCGATTCTTTCATTCGTACACCATAAGCAAGTTGACGAGTTGAAACGTCCCATCAGTCACGTCGCTCTAAATTTTTGACACGAGTCAGCCGCCGGTTGATCACCCTCGACAATTATCGAATTTGAAATGTCATGCATTCATTATCCATTCCCTATAAAAGCTCCGGATCCCTTTTTTTACTCTTTTACTTTCTCATTTCGGACCTTCTTGAGTTACCCTCGAATTTCCTATCTGCTTATCAAATCTTCATTAGTTGTTCTTCATATCTTCATTTCCTGTCTTCAAACCTTCATACTTTACCTTCAAACCTTCATACCAAATCTTCAAACCTCCATAGCAACCTTCAAACCTTCATATTTTCAGATTGAGATGGCTAAGACTTCAAAATTGGTACCCTAAAATACTGCACCTTGAACTTCTACCTCGGCCACAAGCACCAAGGCAACACTTCCAGTAGTATCCCAGGGACTCCCTCTTACAGAATTCATTCCTGAAGGCTGCTCCATAACTAACGACTTCAAGCTCAAAAAAGCCACCGCACAAGGAGACCGAGGTGAGGAGGCGTGGAGGTATGTTTGCTCCATCACTGAGGAGACGCTTCAAGTGGTCCGAGAGGACTACAAATATGAAGGCAAAGACATAGTCGTTCCAAGTCCAGATGAAAATATCACGACGCACGTGGAAGGATACTTAAGCATTTACACGTATCCCTTCATGTTCGGTCCGGTGGATATGGTGATCCTTGATTTTTGTAAGAGGTATGAAATGTTCCTCGAGCAGATCCACCAATCTTTTGGAGGATCGTGACCCTTCTCCTTCACTTTGCTAACAACACGAAGGAGCCTCGGTTCACGATTGACCATTTTCTATGAGTTTACAGCCCCTAAATCTTCCGATGGGGGTTAATCAAGCTCGCTCGTCGGACAAAGAAATCTCCCTTCTCCTGCATAGACGAGGATAGGGACCGAGGCTAGCAGGGGAAGTTGTTCGGATAAAGATCGAAGATCTCATTCCTTCCAAGTTCCCGACGTTCTCAGAGAAGTGGAACTCAAAATGTAAGTTTACTTTCTCTTAAGTTGTCAAAGTTCTCTTTTGAATCTACTCCGCTTTCTCATTATCTGTCTCATTTGACATACAACTATCGCCCGAGTCCCCAATGTGGTCCCTCATTTTTGGGAGTGGGTCGAGGGCATATGCAAACAACTCACCTATCCCGAGCGTGAGTGGCGCAAGCTTTCCAAGTTCCCGACGTTCTTAGAGAAGTGGAACTCAAAATGTAAGTTTACTTTCTCTTAAGTTGTCAAAGTGCTCTTTTGAATCTACTCCGCTTTCTCATTATCTGTCTCATTTGACATACAACTATCGCCCGAGTCCCCAATGTGGTCCCTCATTTTTGGGAGTGGGTCGAGGGCATATGCAAACAACTCACCTATCCCGAGCGTGAGTGGCGCAAGCTTTCCAAGTTCCCGACGTTCTTAGAGAAGTGGAACTCAAAATGTAAGTTTACTTTCTCTTAAGTTGTCAAAGTGCTCTTTTGAATCTACTCCGCTTTCTCATTATCTGTCTCATTTGACATACAACTATCGCCCGAGTCCCAAATGTGGTCCCTCATTTTTGGGAGTGGGTCGAGGGCATATGCAAACAACTCACCTATCCCGAGCGTGAGTGGCGCAAGCTTTCCAAAGGCAAGTGGGAGGCTCGTTCTCATGGTGAATCTTCCTCTTCTTCTATTTGAATTTGCCTTTCAAGTCATTTTATTTTTTCATTATTTTGATTAAGTATGTTCCTTCCTCAGGTTTGACCAAGACTACTAAACTTCGAGAAACCACCGAGGCCGAGGCCTCGATGCATCTATAAATACCTCCGCTTCACTTCGACCTACTGCCAAAGCTACTTCAAAAAAGGAGGAGAAAATAAAGAAGAGGAAGAAGAAAGATCTCCTGACTTCTCGGACACATATGCCGAGGCTAGAAGAAGAAAAGAATCGTGTTTAGAGTCAGGAAGAGCACCAGAAAAGCCTCCGCTTCCCGAGTCCCGGATTTCGAGTCTCTTTATCGGCTTAAGGAATTTCTTGAGGATGGCGATGACATGGAGTTCCTCACTCACAAGCCAATTGATGTCGACTTTGAGTTGGCGCCCCCGGAGGGGGATGCTCAAAAGCCCCAGTCCCCTATAGCTCTAGGGCTCGAAAAAGATCAAATAGCTACTGCTTCAGAGGAATCTCCTCCGATTTTGAGGGAGGACGCCAACGTTATCCATGTTCCGGAGTCACCGCCTCATATGGAGGCCTTTTTAGATGAAGCTCGAGCCGCCATAGAAAAACTCACCGAGACATCTCGGGCCATGGGCGAGGCCCTTAATTCATTTTTCAAGGGCATATATGTTGGTACGCTGGAGGATTACTCTAGCTTTGGCCACCTGAAGATCCCGAAAAGGGTTATGCAAGCAGGGTCAGATGGGCCGAGTTCGAGCCTAAAGCTCGAGAAGCAGTTCCCTCCCCGAAGCGTAGACCCTGACCGGAAGAAGATGATCATGTTCACAGTATCGGCGGATACTAGCATGATATCCGGGCCAATCGAAGCGAACATCTATCTCCGTTCCTTTGTAAACAAAAAGGAACAAGTGAAGATGAACGAGGTAGATAGGCCAAACCTCTTCAACAAGGCTTGGTAGGTGCTGAATAGGGTATACCTTCTTTTCTTCGTGCCTTTAAAGAGTTCTTTTTGACTTAACGACATTTTAATGATTTCTCTCTCTTTATGTCTCAAGCCTTGGTGCTTCTTGCCGGACCTACTCCTTGAGCTCAAAATCAAGGTGGCTTACCTCCATCTAGGATCAGTGAAGGATACAATCCTCAGGGATGTGGCCGACCGCCCTTCCCTCCAAGCAAAGTTGGAGAAAGCCCGAAATGGATGCTTCAAAAGCAAACTAGGACCATACCCTTCTTGTTGAAAAGGTAAAAGTGCTCAATATCGATATCGAGAGTTTAAATGCAAATGCTAACGCCACAACCTCGCAGGTCCAGGAGAAAATAACCTTGATCGACCAGTTTAGGTCCGAGATGGACGAGGTCAAGGCTTTAGCCGATGAGCTTAGGGGCAAAATAGACCTCCTAGCATCGGAGCGAAATGCCACCAAAGAGGATCTAGAATCGACCAAAGTGCAGCTTCGAGTGATGAGAGAGAAGGCCGATAAAAGGTCTCGGCTGAATGAGGAGCTCTGGGCACAACTCACCTTGGCCGTTTTAGAATGCAATGCCCTCGGCCAAGAGTGCACATCGATGAAATCCAGATTGGAAATAGCTTGGAAGGAGGCTTCTGAAGCCCAGGACATGCTGGTCCAGTACATGAATGATGTAGAGGTAGTCGAAGCCCATGTTATAAACAAAGGCCAAGTATGTTAAGTGGCTATCTCATAGAGAGACTTTTAAGGAGATCCAAGCCCGAGGAGTTGACTTAGCGGCCGACATCGAGGAGGCAAATAGGATCGAAGCTGAAGCTAAGGCAAAGTACCAGCCCGAGGGTTCAGATAATGAGCTGGGTTCCGAGGA